TACGGATTGCGAACGCGGATCGGATTGGGATTGCGGATCGTCGGATTTGGATTCTTCGTTCACACTACGGACCATGGTACGGACTACGGATTCAACTTGCAACATATGCTGTATCGCAAATGTCGTATCGTCGACGTTTGCTGTGTACATTCTCTCTCGATAAAACGGTTTTAAAAGTTGCGTCCCGAAATTGATATGGTCAAAAGTTGGCCATTCTAGCTGTGTATGACAATGTTCAGTATACAAAAATATAATTATAATCGAAACATAAAGAAAAAGAAACTATGTGCATATCTGTTATTTTTAATAATGGCTGAAGACAGTGAAGACGAATCGTGTGACAAGAAAATGTGGGTTTCTAAATGGGTATCAAGAAGAAAAGAAAAAGGTTTACATAAAAATCTTTTTTTAGAACTTGCATTGGAAGACCCTAATCGGTTCAGAAGGTTGGTTATAAATTAAAAAATATAATTTACACTTGAAAACGGTAACTTAAAATTTTTATCTCTAAGATATTTGTGTGTGTGTGTGTGTTTTATTTAGGTGTCTCAGAATGGATACAGACACTTTTGAATTTCTTTTGGAAAAAGTTACTCCCCTAATTAAAAAGCAAAATACTCATTTACGGGAAAGTATTCCACCTGATGAAAGGCTATCGGTTACTTTGCGACATTTAGCAACAGGTAAAAAAACAGAATAAAGTCTATTGATAATGGTTATGTATTTTGTAATTAAATCTTTTTTGTGTATCATTCCAAAGGAGAAAGTCAAGAATCGTTAGCTCTCACGTTCCGACTTGGTAGAAGTACCATTTCAAAAATTATAAAAGAAGTAACAAAATTATAAAAGAAGTAACAGCAGTATATACTGTTTTAAAAGAAGAGTTTCTTAGCTTTCCCCACACTGAAGATGAATGGCGTGTGATTAGCCATGATTTTGGAAAACGATGGAATTTCCATCATGTAATTGGAGTAATGGATGGAAAACATTGCGTTATTGATCCTCCACTACAATCTGGATCTATGTTTTACAATTATAAAGGACAATACAGTGTAGTACTATTGGCTATGGTAGATGCACATTTACGTTTTATTTACGTTGATGTAGGGACTAATGGTAGAGTTAGTGACTCTGGAGTCTGGAATAAGTGTTCTCTAAAAAATTATTTAGATAGGGGCACTCTAAACATTCCTCCTCCTGCTCCATTGCCAGATACACAAGACAATTTTCCCTATGTGATTATTGGGGATGAAGGTTTCCCATTATCGGAAAAACTTTTAATTCCTTATCCAGGACCTCAGTGTAATGGGAATATACACAAAAGGATATATAATTATAGGTACGTGGATAATTTATAATTTAATTTTTTGTCCAATTATAATAACACTAGCATTGTTTGCTTTGTCTCTGGAGAGCTGCTCAGAATCGCTCCGAACGAACCCAGCGTACTTGGGTGCGATCCATTTTACGCTGTGAATACTTCGTTGATCAACAAGAAGAAAGAATTTTGCGAATTGATCAATCGGAGAATGCTTCGAAGCATCAACACATTGAAATGGATCGCATCCAACTATACTAGGTTCGTTTGGAGCGACTCCGAGTAGCTCTCGAGAGACAAAACGAACAATGCTATTGAAATACTACTTTACTCGTGTGTTATAGATTATCTAGAGCACAGCGTTGTTCGGAAAATGCTTTTAGTGTGATGGCTGCTCGTTTTCAAATTTTTCGATCCGCAATGAGATATGACCCGGATGATGCATGTAAAATCATTTTAAGTATATGTTGTTTGCATAACATGCTACGAAGTTAATCTATTAGACGAGCAATGTATACACCACCTTCATTTCTTGATAGAGAAGATGAAATGTTTGGTGAATTTCACTGTGGGGATTGGAGAGCCGAAAATGCAAGAGGCATTATAAATTTAGTTCACCAAGGTGGCAATCGTCATCCAAATCAAGCAATCGCACTTAGAGACAGATGGTGCAATTATTTTAATACTATTGGTGCAGTTCCTTGGCAAGAACGAATGATCCGATGAATTATAATTATTGAATACAATAATGCTTTGCTTTGAAAAATAAAACTCATTTATTCATTATATTTTATTTATTTCTTAGTTCAGTCTTCCAAAAATCTTTATTGCTAATACAATCTAATAGATTAAAATAAAAAAACTTGGGCTTTCAAAAATATTTAACATTTCGAAAAATAAATGGACGAATACATTACTGATTGAGGTAATCACGAACACAAAATCACACATTATTCTAAATGTATGGTAACGAATAAAATTTAGTCACTCTGTTAAATGTAATATAAGAATTCAAAATTAACGTATATACTCTTCTCTTTGGCAACAAATAAAATGTATAACATAATACAAAAATTAAAACAAAGTACAAACTTAAAAGTAATACAAATTACTGCTATTTAAAAAAAATTTGTAAAATTGAACAATTTTTTATATATAATTAAAATATTTATATATGTCAGTACTAAGCAGTATTTCAATATAGATATAGCAATGTATAATTAGCATTAATAAGGAACTTTTTATTGTAAATAAGGTATAAGTTACTATTTATGATTTTGGCAGAGTCAATACTTTTAAGATTTCTTTTTCATAATATTCTCGATCGTTAGGGATCATCGATCGAAGCTTAGATGCAATGTATGAACCAAGCATGTCAAATGTGTCCATATTTGGAGGAGGTATATTTTCTTCGGTTATACTTTTTATGGCATTCACAGCATCTTCCATCATTTTAGATTTTTTTGTACCCCGTTTCACGTACAATGATTTCTCAGCAGTGCGTTTAGTATTTGATACAGCTTGAGTATTTAATATGGGTCTGGGAGATGTAACTTGAGTTGAAATATCTGATGTATTATTTATTGCCAATTCGTTTTGACTATCAGACGTGGTAGGCAATTGGGTAGCAGATGTTACAACTGACGTTGGATCTGGGATGAGTTCTGTTGAGGTGTGTGATTCTGAATCTGTACAAGGTGATATTTCATCACTGTTTATACTTGTTGTATTGTTATCAGATAAATTAGATGGAATAATCATGTATTGCTAAAAACAAAAAATTGAAATATATTGAACAATATTTATAAAAAAATAATACTAAAACTTGTTTATATTAATGATATTAAGCATAAATTAATTCTTAAATAAATGATACAGAAAATTTCCATTGGAAATAATAGAAAACCTGAATCTAAACAGAATAATATAATATAAAGATAAAAGCTTTACACTTACTTGAAGATTTTCATCATAATATATATTTGTAATCCTTGACGTATTTTGCACATTGTTATAAGCATGAACAGGTGAATGATTAACAGCGTTTTGACTAGATAGAGAAATATGATTTTTTAAGGAAAGATTATCAATACTGTCACTCTGTGCACAAGTTCTTCTTAAAAATGAGAGCATATCGTAATATTCCCACTTTGGTTTGTACATTTCATCTGTTCCTTTTCCACTACAACGAGCTTTTGATTCTCTTATCTTTCTTTCATTCGTACGGAAAGTACTTTCCATATTTTGGAACCGTTTACAAACCATATCTCCTGCGCGTGCAAAAATAAATTTAAAAAAATTAATTGAATAATATAACTTTTACTAATCAACACAAGAATTCAACATCTCAACAACTCAACTCAATATAACCTCATTCATTAACTAATTATTTGCAATGTATGTTCACACTCTTAATTTTTTCAAAGTTACCTAATTATTTGTATTTTCGTATTTCAAGCAATAATATAATAAATTCAAAAGATTAAATAAATAAATTATATATATTATACCTGTAAATTTGGAACCTAGAGCTTGTGCTATTCGATCCCAGTGCGTTCGCTTTAAATCAACTCGACGATATTGTTCTATTCTTGTGTCCCACAATAAAGGACACTGTCTATCCATTTCTATCATCATACATTCGATGTCCTTTGTAAAACGTTCGCTTTTGGGACCCATTGTATGAGTTATGATGAGCACAGGTAACCTAACCACACAAACGATGCTTATTCATCCATCATAAATGGGTCACGTGACCAAACTTGATGTTTTATTGGCTTGGATTACGATTACGGATCGCAAAAATAGAGAGCCGTCTATTCTGTAATCTACAATCCGGATCCGAAACTGCCTTGTCTTAATTGGCTGAGTTCCGATCCGCGATCCGCAATTCCAATCCGATCCGCGTTCGCAATCCGGCTGTGCGGTGATGGGGGTCGCGCGCCGGAATCGATCCGAAATGTGCAAATCCTTGCGAACACTGCTTTACAGAATAGGATATATCTTTATTTATACAATAGGAATGTTGGCATTATTGCCTACTATGTCAGTTTTGGAGCCCATTTCGTCAGACGCTCATTTTTGCATAATTTACGAAAAATTTAATTATTGCAAAATTGCAAACAGTATTATAAAAATTGCTTATATTATCTGATAGAAGATACTTTTTACTTTGTATTTATGTTTTTGAAATTGTATTTTTACCTTTTGTTTAAGAAATATTGTCTAAAAACAAAGTGGTATGTCGGTATTGATGACCTTCCTCTATAAATTCACGCATGAAAAATTTTTTAGTGGTACTTATAAAAGTTTTTGCGTGATTTATTGTGGGCAAATTTATCGATTAAATCATTAAAATCAACATTTTTCAGCAGTTCGCTCTTTGTTGTTAATAATGCCAATGACGATATTATCCTAGTCAGAAATGGTAATGGAATCGACATCGAATCGATGTCGATTCGACGTCGAAAGCATCAAATCGACGTCGATCGACGTCGAATCGACGTCGATTCGATGTCGATTTCATTATCATTTCTAGCTGGGATGGTCTAGTATCAGTCATCGTGTGTGAATATTGTGTGTTATATTGTGTGTTTTATTGTACAAGAAATGCAAAATTGAAATTTTTAATTGTTTATTTTCATTCGATTATTTATTTTTATCAATGAAATACAATTTTAAGCTAAGTCTAAGAGGCCTCCCTGAAAAAAGAGGCCCAGGGCTGTATCTCCCTTAGCCTCTTCTCTCCCCCCTCCCCACTCTTAATCCAGGCCTGCCATTCAGTAAACATTAGGCCTGTTCTTTCTGGCTGAACTTTTGCACCAGTTCATCTTTCCTCTTCTTCTTTCCTTCCAGATAGAAAAGGAAAAAAAATGAACTGGTACAAAAGTTCAGCCAAAAAGAACAAGCTTATACGTTTTGAAATGACGAACAATATGCACTTTCTATAAAATGCTAATAGTGCAGTCATCATTTTTATAGTACAATTTCATAAATACATGTTTATCATTTCAACGCTTCGAATTTACTAAACGGCATCAAGGAGGTTGCGCTGTACAATGATGTTTGTCAAATCCATATCAATACATTTTTTGGCTATCTGCCAATAAATGCGGAGACAAAAATTTCCCTTTCCTTTGGCTTTTGTAAAATTACATTAAATTAACTGCGTATATATTGCGAATTTGATTTGTGTCAACCGTATCCACACAAAATCATTTACGTGGTATTCACAGTCAGTTTAGCTATCCGAACTGTAATAAACAAATGATGTTGTCAAACAGAGAAGAATGGATAAAAGTAGGAGAAGCTATACTGCGTCCTTACAGTCAGTTTATGTATAAAGATTCGTTATCGAATATTACTTGGAAAGGTTACAACGTGTGAATATTTTAAAATGGCTTTATCTCCTGGAGATCCACACTCCTTTTCAAAACCAGGTATTTTAGTTATTTCATTAGCTTACTTAATGGGTCAATTCTAAGCAGAATCATAAGACTTGTAACACCTGTAACCTGTTCTCGTAAAATTTGTAAGAACTTATGACTAGTATTTTAATTTTATGCGTATATATCGTAATAAGAAGTACGATTATTCTTAAATATCTATGATTTTTTGTTCTATGAATTTTATGGCTAGTAAGAAGCTGTCTGTAAAAATATTGCATAAAGGTATAAGCACTTAAAAATTTTTACAAGTTTTACAAGAATATGTTACGAGCCTTACGATTCTGTTTAGAATTGTAATTTTATTCATTAATTAATTTTTTCTTAAAAGAGATGTAGTAAAGTATATTTGCAGAATTCATTAAGGTTCGAAAGATGAAATATCGTACATATCTTTAAACCTTTAGGCTTTAGTAATTTACATTTTTTAAAATTAAATTAATCTTTCACGAATTTAATTAATCTACACCATTCTACTGTTAACTTTCTTAAATATATAAAATATATTATATTTAGCACAACAATCGGATGCTTATTTGTATTTTAAAAACAATATCATATTGTGTTATAATAGTTTTAATTACAGTATATTATTTTTCAATGTGTATTGATATTTACGCATATTGTGCTGTATATACTATTACTTATTAAACATTTTTTAATATTTATTAATTTCTAAAAAACCGAAAGAAAAAAGGGCCTAAGATTAATCGTTATAAATTAAAATTTGAAACCGTTAATAAATAAAGGGGTGATCCCGATTGATCACGGCTCGATTGGACACCACCAATCACAGCGACCGGTGCTTAGGAGCTTTGTAGTCTCAAGCGCTGCGAGTGGCTCGTGTCCAATTGAGCCGTGTCCAACTGGGTGCCACCCATAAATAAACATGTCATTTAGTTAAAATATAAAACTTTAATTTACCGGCAATAAATAATAAAACAAAAACAAACGTTCGATCCCTGTTGGATCATTATCAATGTTAACAAACTCATTCTTATTACAATTTTTTACTGCATACTGAGCGAGATTTTTGATAATATTAATACTGCGATCATTCTTATTACAATATTTACTGCATGCTGAGCGAGATTTGATAACATTAATACTACGATCGAGAGTAAATAATAATTTTTATTTATCTTTTCTTTGTAATAATTTTGTTTGTTAACATTGATAATGATCCAACAAGGATCGAAACATTTGTTTTTGTTTTGTTGTTTATTGCTGGCAAATAAAAGTTTTATATTTTAACTAAATGACATAACATTCTTGAGGTTTCCACGGGTGCTTTCTGTATAAAGGTTATGCGTTTCGCGTGTTTCCTCCGTGTCCAGACGTGATGTCAAACTAAAACACACCACGCAGTTGGCATTATCAGAACACAACATCGAAACAGGACATCAAATACTGTTTGACAAAACGACCACAATAGTCAACAGTACATCATACTTTCCAAGAAAGTATAGAGAAGCCATAGAGATACAAAAACACCCTAACAATTTAAATAGAGATAATGGCTACAACATAAATAAAATATGGAAGACCATTCTCCCGGTTATTGAAGATCGACCAATTCCACCACCTCTTTCCCCTCCCACAACCTCTTCCCCCTCTCCGCCCATCCCCACCACCCCAACAAGCAGCGTAATATAAAAAGGAACGGCCCGGAGAAACAGCTCAGTATCAGGCTGCTCCTCGCCCTGATGAAGTGGACTGCACGATTTACGAAACGTTGGCATCAAGAATGGATCTGGACACGGAGGAAACCCGCGAAACGTATAACCTTTAAACTAAATGACATGTTTATTTATTAACGGTTTCAAATTTTAATTTATAACAATTAATCTTAGGTTCGTAGCCCTTTTTTCTTTTGGTTTTTTAAATTTATTGAGCCTTATTACTGTTATAGTTTTATTAATTTCTCATTATTAGAATTTGCACGTGTAACTAACATTCATTTAGAACTATATGTAGACTTTCATCGATGAGTTCTTAAAGGAAAAGCGATTTTGACTATTGAAAAAAAAACCATTCAATTATAGAATTAGTGAGTAGATATTTCCTATTATATTGAGCAAAGTTTTGATTTAATATGTAGTATTAACATGTAATATCGCTTTAATTAGATTTTAGATAATTATGCACTTGTCACAAATCCTGTTACTGAAGCATCTTTAGAACATTCTATTGGACATAAACATATTGTTGGAAGCTCATTTATCATACAGTTATCAAAAACTGAAGAAAAATATAATGATTATAAGCCTACGTGAATAATATAAAACATTAAAAAATACAATTACTAAAAATTATTGATGCAACAATTGAATACATCTTTAATAGTACGTTACTTTCAGATGTAAAATTCAAATTGAATATGAAACAAGTCCAGACTCACCTACGTTATATTGGCTAACACCTGCACAAATTGCCGATGATACACATCCTTTCCTATTGTCTAACAACAAGGTAAACTGGTTAAATAAAATTGATCAATATCAACACAGGTTGTATAAAAACTTCCGTTGTTTCAGTTAACATTCGCTAGAGCAGTATTTTCCTGCCAAGATACATCATCTGTCAAATTTTCGTACACTGCTACGGTAAAAATTTTAATGTAGATAGTATGTGTATACATGTGTATTTTATACATTTATATAAAAACATGTTGGATTATTATTAATATTATTAATAAAAATAATAAAAATTTACGAAAAAATAAAATGTATTAGTGAAAAAAATTAAATGTATGACGATAAACATATATAATAATATTTATTCTCTTTTCTTATAAACTGCTTTAATTAATCTAAAATAAAATATTCATTTATTTTTTATTAATATGTATTTCATTTTTTAGATTACAGTGCCAAAAGATTTTACAGCTATAATGTCTGCACTTTGGCAAAATGTAATTAAAGATTCGGAGTTAAACCTATATAATTTTCTGCAAGCGAAACAAGTAGCGTCTTACGCAGTAATTATTGCTGTAGATTCACTACAGAAAAAACATCTTAGTATAAGAAGCAATGTGTTTGCTGAGAAGAAATTTATTAATGAAGCTGTCAATACATATATTTCGTACAGGCGTAATTGAAAAGATGTTGGAGATTGCTGAAGATTTGTGTGGATCTTATTTTCGGGGTATAAAATATCAATTAAATTACTTATTATTAATTTATTTAAGTTTTTGTATAGAAAGAAATTTATTATTTTGTGAATTATTAATCTTCTCTTTTATTATTATTATTATTACACAATACTTAAAATGATACCTATAGATAGATATGATGTATGCGTGCTTCCACCATGTCTCGGCCATTTCGAAGTAGAGTGTCCATGCATAACATTTTTTTTCACCAAATTTACTTTACGGAGATGATTCTAGTATCAGTTCACTCTCTCTAAGTATCGCACAGAGCTGGGCAGGACATTTAGTTACGTGTGCAAATTATAATCATTTGTGGCTAAATAAAAGTATCAGCATGTTTGTTAGCAGGAAAATCATTTGCAAAATATAGACGCTTAATGAAACGCAGTTATTTTACAAAAAATTATCATATCTCGACCTGAATAGGATGGTAAAGTATTAATTTTGATTAAAACAAATGGAATAATTAGTAATATCGTATATGATACCAGATTACAATATTTTTACATCACGCACATAATTAAATAAACATATTTCTTTTGTACTATTTTCTAAATTATATTATAGATAGACATATCAAGTGATACCAACTCGTTGAAAAACTTAATACTCGATTAAGTTCGATTACCCGATTTGTTGCCTATAGACTTCATTAGACATGTACCCTACGAACTAGGAAGTATATTTTTAAATAACCTAGAGAATATCGTAGGAGGATCTTTAGTATTCGAAGAATTTCTTAAATCTTATTTTTTTAATTTCGAATATAAAAGTATAAAGACGGATGATTGAAAGGAGTATTTTTATAATTGCTTTGCTGAAGTAATGAATATAAAGGTAACACTTTCTTTATACAAATAAATTACAGTTTTAATAGTATTAATATTTTAGTATTACAAATAATAAATTTTATGTTATTTCAGTTATGTATTAATTGGAACTTATGGTTCTATAATACTCCTCGTAAACATAAAAATATAGATCATGAAACCACATGGGAAATAGAGTGTTTGAAATTAGCAGAAACATGGGCCAGATGGGATGATGATATTGATGATGAACTTTCTTTTATATCTATTTTATATAAAAAAAAAGACTTTTGTGATATTGAAGAAATAGTATTTTTAAACACACACTACATTATATTCATAAGTATTTGAACGTGAAAAAAATGAATTTATTGTTAAAAATTCATCGTTTTGAAAATAAAAGTTATCAAATACGGTAAATATACATATACATATACAGGGTGTTTGAAAATTATCGGCTAATCGATCACGAGCAGGTAAAACGGACCGAATTGAATCGAAAAATCTTACACCATTTTGTAGGTTGCGCAATAGTTAACGAGATA